TAATTTGCAACTTCTCACCTTTCCTTTCTCTTCAGTATGTCTTGGGATATGTGTCATGACCTTTACCATGTCTTGAATGCAGTAATAAATCCTACTTTGTTTTAACGTTGAATTTTTTAAATATTCATTTGTGGGATGTGGGCACTGTTGACTGGCTAGCATTTATTTTCTATCTCTAGTTGCCCTTGAAGGTGGTGGTGAGCTGATTTCTTTAACCACTGCAGTCCATATGCTGTGGGTTGACCCACAATGTCATTTTGGAGGGAATTCCAAGATTTCGACTTAGTGACGATGAAGTGATATATTTCCAAATCAGGATGTTGAATGGCTTGGATGGAAACTTGAACGTGGTGGTGTTTCCATGTATGTGCTGCCCTTCTAGATAGGTCATGGGTCTGGAAAGTACTGAGGATCTTTAGTGAATTTCTGTAGTGCATCTTGTAGATGATACACACCGCTGCTACTGAGCGTCAGTGGTGGAGGGATAGATGCTTGTGAATGTGGCGCTAATCAAGTGGGTTGCTTTGTCCTGGATGGTGTCAAACTTTTTGCGTGTTACTGAGCTGCACTTATCCAGGCAAGTGGGAGAGTATTCCATCACACTTTGCCTGACTTTGCCTTGTAGGTGATGGATGGGCTTTGGGGAGTCAGGAGGTGGGTTATTTCTAGCCTCTTGTTCTTGTAGCCACTTTGTGGTAAGTCCAGTTGAGTTTTTTGTCAATGATAACCCCCAGATGTTAGTGAAGGATTCAGTGATGGAAACATCTTTGAATGTCAATAGATGTTGGTTAGATTGTCTCATTGGTGATTGATCATTGGCATTTGTGTGGCATGAACATTACTTGCCACTTGTCAGCCCAAGCCTGGATATTGTCCAGATCTTGTTGCATTTGAACATGGACTGCTTCCGTATCTGAGGAGTCGCAAATGGTGCTGAACAATGTGCAATCGTCTGACCTTATAATAGAGGGAAGGTCACTGAAGATGATTGGGCCTAGGACACTACCCTGAAGAACTCCTGCAGAGATGTCCAGGAGTTGAGATAACTGAACTCCAGCAACCATAGCCATCTTATGTGCCAAGTATGACTCTAACCACTGGAGAGTTTGCCACACTGTGTCGAATGCACCCATGATGTCAAGGGCTGTCGCTCTCACCTCATCTCTGGAATGAGTCAGGAGCTGAATGATGCTGGCAGAACCCAAACTGCTTTTCATTGAGCAGGTTATTGCTGAGCAGGTGCTGCTTGATAGCATTATTGATGATTTCTTCCATCACTTTGATCGAGAGTAGACTAATTGGGTGGTAATTTGTTAGGTTGGATTTGTCCTGCTTTTTCTATACAGGACATAACTGGGCAATTTTCCACATTGCCAGGTAGATGCCAGTTTTGTAAGTACTGGAACAGCTTGGCTGGGGGAGTGGCAAGTTCTGGAGCACAAGTCTTCAGTACTATTGCTGGAATGTTGTCAGGGCCCAAAGCCTTTGTATTATCCACTGTTGCTAACTGTTTCTTGATATCATGTGGAGTGAATCGAATTGACTGGAGACTAGTATCTGTAATGCTGGGAACTACTGGAGGAGGCTGAAATGGATCATCTACTAGGCACTTCTGGCTGAAGATTGCTGTTAAGGCCTCAGCCTTATCTTTTGCACTTTGGGCTCTGCTGTCGTTGAGGATGGGGATATTTATGGAGCTTCCTCCAGTGAGTTGTTCAATTGTCTGCCATTCACGACTGGACGTGGCAGGACTACAGAGCTTAGATCTGATCCATTGGTTGTGGGATTACTTGGCTCTGTCTGTCACTTGCTCTTGACACACAAGTTTGGCTTCACCAGGTTGACGCTCCATCTTTTAGGTATGTCTGGTGGTGCACCTGGCATGCCCTCTTGCACACTGTGTATTGACTTAGGGCTCATCTCCTGGCTTGATGGTAAGAGTTGAGTGGTGGATATGCCAGACCGTGAGGTTACAGATTGTGCTGTTGATGACCCACAGCGTCTCATGAATGTCCAGTCTTGATTTGCTAGACCCATTCGAAGTCTGTCCCACTTAGCGCACTGATACTGCTACACGACATGATGGAGGTTATTCTCAATGTGAAAGCATGACTTTGTCTCCATCAGGACTGTATGGTGGGTACTGTTAGCAATACTGTAATGGACAGATGCATCTGCACCTGGCAGATTGGTAAGGATGTGGTCAAGTATGTTTCTCCCTCTTGGTTCCCTCACCACGTGCCACAGATCCAGTCTAACAGCTAAGTCCTTTAGAACCCGAACAGTAGGACAGCTGCCAAGCCACTCGTAGTGGACGTTGAAATCCCCTACCCAGAGTACATTTTGTGCCCTTGCCATCCTCAGTGCTTCCTCTAAGTGGTGTTCAACATGGAGTACGAATTCATCAGCTGAGGGAGGACTAATCAGCAGGAAGCTTCCTTGCCCACATTTAACCTGAAGCCACGAGCCTTTCTGAGGTCCAAAGTCAATATTGAGGACTCTCGGGGCAACTTCCTCCAGACTGTTTACCACTGTGCCACCGCCTCAGCTGGGTCTGTCCTGCCAGTGGGACAGGACATATCCAGGGATGGTGATGGCGGCTTCTGGGACATTGTAGGTATGATTCTATGAGTTTGATTGTCAGGCTGTTGCTTGACTGATCTGAGATAACTCTTCCAGTTTTGGCACTATCCCTCATGTTAGTAAGGAGAACTTTTGCAGAGTCGACAGGGCGGTTTCTGCCGTTTGCCTCTTCTAGTTCCTGGGTTGATGCCAGGTTATCCATCTGTTCTCATTTCTTTGAGACCTTGTAGTGATTGGCACAACTGAATGGCTTGCCAGACCTTTCGGAGGGCAACTGAGAATCAACCACATTGTGGGTCTGGAGTCACATGTAGGCCAGACCAGGTGAGGATGGTAGATTTCCTTTGCTGAAGGACATGAGTGAACCAGATGGGTTTTTCTGACAATCGACAATGATTTCATGGTCATTGGTAGAGTCTTAGTTGCAGATTTGTTTTTATTAAAATCAGATTCAAATTCCACTATCTGCTATGGTGGTATTCGAACCTGGGCCCCCAGAACATTCTCCCTGTGTCTGCGTGGGTTTCCTCCGGGTGCTTCGGTTTCCTCCCGCAGTCCAAAGATGTGCGGAATAGGTGGATTGGCTATGCTAAATTGCCCATAGTGTTCAGGGATGAGTGGATTAGGTGGGTTATAGGGGAGTGGGTGTGGGTGGGATGCTCTGAGGGTCAGTGTGGACTTGTTGGGCCGAAGGGCCTGTTTCCACACTGTAGGGATTCTATGCAACTAAATGAATTATGGCAGATGGAGTTCATTTTGGACTGAAAAAGGATAGATAAGGGTATTTACTAGGTAGTATGAAGTTAAATACAGTGGATGTCCAAAGAGTTTTAGGTGCATAGCTCTTTAAAATGTCACAAACGTGTACAGAAAATAATCAAGCAGGCTAATGGAATTCTGGCCTTTATATCAAGACGGCTGGAGTACAAGGG